GGGGGGGGGGGATCGGTCCTGAGCACCTTCGAGTCTCTATTTATTGCCTGTGTTAACTGTCGTAGTGGGGAAAGTGCTGACGTGCAGTCTTAGTGGTGAAGGGATGTTAATTATTTAATTTCTAAATTTTACTGTTTCAATCTGCTCGGGGTGGGGAGGATCAGCTGGATTAATTGGTTTTCCGACAGGAGTTTGAGGAAATTCGCAGTTTTGAAATTGCATTCATTTTTGTTCGATTTTTCATTATTGATTTTTTTTCCTTAAATGAAAAATCTGTGAATTCAATAGTAAATTCAATATTTATTTCGAATGTAAATGCACTATTTTCCAGGATTTTTTCATTTTCTTTGCAGTTCGGGAATTGGTAGAGGATGTGCATGTCTGGCGTTGGGTTTTATGCTCGTAATTGAGGGGATTTATTGATTAAGAGAAGGGTATTCCATCGTGAGGAGGAAATTGCCGTGATTAATTCAAATTTTTGGTATGGAACTGAATAAAATTCCTCTCCATCATTGTTCTCATTGAGATCAATCATCTTTTATGGAAGGAGAACTAATAGATTAATTCAATTCTTGATTTCATTTTTTTTTTCGTCCCAATTCAGAAATTGAATGAATACGAAAAAAACCTAAATTAAAAATTGATTTTCCCGACTGAAAAAAAATCTGTTGCATTAGTTTTCGCTAAAACTCACTATAAAAATTCCGCAAATAAAATTCCCACAAAACCGTTATCTTACCCCCAAATACAGAATTACGATGAAGACCGTGTAATTACGGAACATATGAATTTATTTGACCGCATAGTATGAAATGATAGCTGAATTCAATTTTCGAGTTCAACATATTTTTCTGTCCCAATTCAGAGATCGAATAAATGCGAAAAAAACCTAAATTAAAAATTCCTATTTCCGACTGTTCCAATCGCCACAATTCATCATGTCTAAAAAAATAAATTCAATTATCATTAAAAACAATAATTTGGAACATATTATCCTACGAAATCAGCGATCGAAATTTCACGAAAACCAATTTCATGAAAAAAATCAGTTGCATAAGTTTTCGCTAAAACTCACTATAAAAATTCCGCAAATAAAACTCCCACAAAACCGTTCTCCTACCCCCAAGTGCAGAATTACGCTGAAGATCGTGTAATTACGGAATATATGAATTTATTTGACCGTATAATTCGATAAAAATCCGCAATGGTCCTTTAACTCGGTTCGAAGCTGGTCGTTATCCACTCCACCGGAATCTCTTTTCGTTCTGCTAATTTTTTCAGGATCATCCGATCGACTAAATATTCGTCGCGCGAAAGCGTACTGCGGTATCCAAAAGACAGTGGTGGTGGCACTGAATGGGTGGTCTGTATGGAGGGGAAGGGGGTGG